TAGTAGGTGATCTTGGGCAAATCATTTAAATTCTCTTACCAATTTTCTCAACTGTAAAATGCAAGTAATAATACTGCACAACTCTACCTCTGAGAATCGTCATAAGGACCAAAATGGAATTGTTGTTTTAAAATGTGTAAGCGGTTTGTAAATTGTCATGACCACACAAACACCTTACCTAGGATCCTTCTTAGAGAGAGGCAGGGTATACACTCACCCACATACAAATTTACAAATTATTTTTTTTTTACTCTTTTTTAACACTTTAAGTAACTTAATTTTCACTTATTTTACAGCATAAATCCACCTCTAGCTTACATTAACAAAGGTGTTGTAAACAACAAATCGTACATTAACAAAGGTGTTGTAAACAACAAATCGTCACATGTCCTAGTTTATTTCATCTTTGTCCAAACAACTTCAGAAGAGACTCTGGAGTTACAAACTTTTCTAAATATTGGAAAATCAAGATAATTATTTTATAAGTTATTGGGGGACACTTTTGAATGTGTTTTAAATCTCAGCACACAGAATTATGAATTGTATTTTAAAAGAAAAATTTTACTCCTTAAATGTCTAGAACTTAAATGAGATGTCACAGCAAAAAGATTGAAGCCCCATCTTCTGATTATCTCTGAAATAAGGAAATCCTCCCATGAAAATGCTGAAAACTAACGGGCTGGATTGTAGAGCCTGGTATTTAGCATAAAGTAGACTCAGGAGTAGAATCAGATGAGTTCAGCTCTAGAATTACTAAGTAGTAGCCTTGATTTTCATGAAGGTACAAAATTTATTTTCATCCTGAGTTTCTGTAAATGTTTTTCTAAAACTTTCAGAGAAATTTTGGTTTTGATTTGAAACTTCACATATTTGGTGTCTTATCCAAAGATAAATTATGTTTTTGGAAGTTTTAGCAAATTTGTTCTCCCACTCCCGAATTAGTCAGTGAAACCAAAATAAAATTGTTCTGCCTTCAAAAACAAGTGTGTTTTTAAATGTCAGGCGCAAGAACGTTAGGAGAATACAAACCAATATGTGGGAAGAGCTGCTATACAACAAGTCTGAAATTTCAGATGTTCTGAGGACCTCTAATAGATTCTTTTCACCCAAATTTGAAGTGTTTGGCTACAATTGGATTCTATTTGTGGTACATGGTGTTCTGAAAGACACAAACACGTATGGAATAAATAAATGGGAACTGTATAATATTTTCAATTGCTCATAGTACCTTTAAAATTATTTCTAGAAAAATTATATAAACAAAATAATTAGATACACTAAAATAACTGTTGACTTACTTTTTCTGTCTCTTCATTGACAGGCAATTTTTCAGCAGCATCTCTCTGGGTATCTACAAGAGACTTAGCTACAAAGCATTATCCAAAGCCAGAGACTGGGAAATGTGCATTCCTGACAGAGGTAAGGGAATCTTAAGAGAATTGTGGAAAAGTGTAGCTAGGATCAATTCAATCTAAAATTGATTAAAAAGGCAAGTTAAAATCAGTATCAGTAGCTAGAGAGATCCTACTTTAAAATCAATAATAAATGTTAATTAAGCACCTGTTGGCCGGCCCCGTGGCTTAGCGGTTAAGTGCGCGCGCTCCGCTGCTGGCGGCCCGGGTTCGGATCCTGGGCACGCACCGACGCACCGCTTCTCCAGCCATGCTGAGGCCATGTCCCACATACAGCAACTAGAAGGATGTGCAACCATGACATACAACTATCCACTGGGGCTTTGGGGAAAAAAAAAAAAGGAGGAGGATTGGCAATAGATGTTAGCCCAGAGCCGGTCTTCCTCAGCAAAAAAAGAGGAGGATTAGCATGGATGTTAGCTCAGGGCTGATCTTCCTAACAAAAAAAAAATAATAATAATTAAGCACCTGTTGGTTGCATGATACATGATACTAGGTATGGTAGGCTGAAAAATGGAAGTTACATTAGTAACACTGCAAAGTGAATTAAAGACACATATTAGTTTTAAGTTGGAATAAAAATGAGATATTATTAACACTTTGATATCTGTGATTGGGCTAAGCACTGTCTTTGGAATAATGTTGATGGTGACAACACTTACAGGAGACTTGGAGCTTCAGACCCAGATCTTCTAAAGGTGAACTGTTTGGCAGAAAAACAGGTTCTCTACGTCTCCTCTTACTCCTCATAGGTAAACAAATGCAAGAATTTTACTAAAAATACTTCAATTATGCAAAAATGAAGTGTCAGACAGTTTTATAAATACAATTTCTTTACAGGGCTTTGCTTATTTAAATTGTTTTTACTATCACTAGAACACTATATGAATATAAGATTTTAATCATCTTTCCTGATAATGACTGAGTCTTAATTCCCCATACATACCATCTGTGCCTGAGTTCTATAAAAATTCCTTGTGGAGGGTACATTTTGGACAGAGTTCCACAGAACTGTATTCCTGCACCTAACCCATTGTTTCTGCTTATAGTCCCTGAGTATGAATATCGATGACATTCAGTGTCAATTGTATATTTCACCTTATTTTTAACTTTTGACCTGGACGTGGTAAACATGACATAGCACTTATTCTTGCATGGCTAGGCCTAAACAAAATGGTGATGCAAGGATAGATCTTCTTCTTCCTTCTAAATATTCACCCTTACCCCTCCATTGAGCATCCTTTTCTCTCACTCATTTTAATTCCTGGAGGTCAAGGGCTCCTACTGAAGCACACCTCCTAGCCTGACAACCTCACTTTCCCACTAACCCCCTCTTATAAAACCTTGTAAAGTTCACAATTCTATTTCCTAACACCCTTGCTCCCTTCTGCTTTATACCGGGTAATTACAGATTATTCCTACTCTAAAGTGTAGGCAAGCCCTTTAACCAACCAAGTACACCATCATCTTTTCTACCCCTAAACTTTTGTTATTTTGGAAAATTTCAACTTCAGGAGAAAAGACTTGCTGAACTATTTGAATAAGGTAATATTTTAATGTATTATTAAAACAGTGACTATGTACGCTGATAATGCTTCAATAAACCTAACTTAGACAAAAAAGTGACTATCATTTGCTGAGTGTTTAAGTAGAGAAAACACTGGACCAAGAGCATTACTTGTATTATTTCATTTAATCAAAAATCTCTCTGAAATTGGAACTAGTAACTGTTCTATTTTCACAGATGAAGAAACTGAGCCCTAGAGAATAAAGTGCCCAAGACCACACCTTTACTAAGATGCAGAATTCAAACCTCCATGACTAATTCCAGAGCCCTGGTCTTTAAGCAGTATACTGTACCAGTTAAAGTACATGTCTTGACAAAATGACTAAAAGCAACGTGTGAAACTTGATTAGATTCTGGATGGTGAAAAAAAGGCAAATAAAAAAGACATTTTGGAAGACAATTTGGAAAATTTTTTACCATGGATTGGTTATTAACAAATATGGAATTACTGTTAGTTTTCTTAGGTGTGATAATGATATTATAGTTAAGTAGAAAAATGTCCTTATTTCTAGGCAATAAAGTATCCAGCAATGAAGTTTCATAATATCCTCAACTTGTTTTCAAATGGTTCCATTAAAAAATCCATGTGAACACACACACACACACACACACACACACACACACAGCAACTGCAGCATAGTATTATCAACTGATGAATCAAAGTGAGGAGTAAATGGATGTTTATTGTACTGATAAATAAATGAGGAAGCCATTTGGTGTAAAACTAATTCAGCCTGAACTTGTTTATTCCTAAAAGGGCCTGTAGCCTCTGTTTGTTCATTGCATATCTGCTTTAAGCAATTAACATGAACAAATGCCCTTAAGATATGGATGCTACTTCCCCCACATTGACATTTCCTTAAGGATAAGCATTTCTCCCTAGGCTAGGATTTGATTGTTGCACTCATCCTGTGACCACCCAACTCGAGATATCAGACCTGCCACCAGCCACGCCCATGGAGACAGCAGACCTGATACCTGCTGTGTCCATCAATCACTTTGCCAGTAGGTCAAGCGCGCAACTATCGTAAGAGGGACATTACAATCATATGTGATACATGCTCTTTGATGGTATATAACCACTCTGTACACCCCACTTCTTTAGTGCTTCATTTCTTTGTGAAAGGACTCTCCTGGGCTATACGGTCCTCAAAAGCTGGGTCATAATAAACTAACCCCAATTTTGATTTATAGATTGGTTATGGATTACTGGCATCAACAGTACATCCTTCAACATTTTTGTAGGTTTGAAAAATTTCAAAATAAACTGTTGAGGGGAAACACTCATCTAGAAAAGGTTCTTGAGAAACCACAGAATCTCAGCATTATGAAATTTTAAAGATCTGGTGGAGTCTTACACTATCTTTCCCTTCGCTGGTATTTAAATGATTTTATTTCACCAATGGCATAAACAGGAATACACTATACATAATGTACACATAACCATTAAAAAGTATGAAAGTGTATATACCCAGCTGGTATCAGGATTATCTCTGGGGGCTGGTATTAACAGAAAATTTTACTTTCCTACATTTTTACCATGATCGTGTATTTTCAGAAATTTTCATTACAGTTTTCTTTTCCATTTGAAAAGAAACAAAGGCCCTAAAAATTCTGAACTGTTTCATTTCTCATGGTGAAATTTGTAAACATGTCACGGAAATTAGAATCTTTATTCTGTTATGCCCCTCTAGAGTGGGACCCTGGTGTCCCACTGGAGTTTCGAGCTATAAATGGGAACTTGAGGATTCTACCGCTGGTTCTATTTGCCAACAAAAACTAAGCAGGACGGAAGAAAGTTAATGTTTTCAAAACAAGCAAGAGGCAGCCGAAAATACTTAAATTGTTGGACTTTGAAAGCATTCTTGAACGCCCGTCTCCAGCCAATAGCTGACCCGAGCGGAGGCGGACGTAATCCCCAGGAACGGAGCAGGTCCCAGCAGCAGCTGCGGCCCACAGCTCTGGTCTTCAGGGCGGGGCACGCCCCTCCCTCCGCCTCGGCCAATCGGGAGTGAGGAGGCGGGGCGGACGCAGGACGGGGTGTGTCCGGAGTGGGGGCGGGCAGGTCCCAAAAGGTGCAATTTTCCTGGGCCCGCGGCGCCCGGGCTCAGGGGGAGAGGCCGGGCTGGCCGGTGCTTTGGCCTCGGGCGTCTGGAAATGGCGGCGGGGGGCAGGATGGAGGACGTGAGTGCACGGAAGTGGCGGGCAGCTGGCCCCGAAATCCCCTTCTTCCTGTGCTGGGCGCGCTGGGCGGAGACTGCGGCCGGGGCCGGAGGGGGCGCCTCCTGCGCGGGGCTGGCCCGGGCGGGGGGGTGTGTGAGCAGGCACCGGGGCGGCGGTGGGGTCCGCGACGCGCAGGCTCCGGCCTTATTTTCCCGGGTGGAGGCCGGCGTGGGCTGCTGGGAGGTGGGCGGGCGGGTGCGGGGTCCCAGGCTGGCGCCCAGCCCACGTGCAGCGCGCGTCTTTGATCCCGGAACTGGGCGCTTCACGTGATGCGCGTCTGGCCTGACAGCTCCTGCTTTGGGCGCGTCTCTGGGCGCGGGGCCGCTGGGCTCCGCTCGGACGCTCCTGGGGTGCAGGGGACGCATTTCCCCTGCTCGTGGGTCCCCTGCCTTGGCTCTAGAGGGCTGTGGACCTGGAGCCGCTGCGACACGCAGGCTGAACGCTGGCGTCCCACGGGCAGACCTGTCGCTGTCATCACGCGGAAACCCACATTGGAGAAAAACAATGTCGTGATGTTTTGAATCTAGGCATGGAAGGGATGAAAGGATTTTTAAATCTTACTTAGATGGATCCAAACCAGATCACTAAAAAACTAGTGGCTTAGTCTACAGTGTATATAGTACGGAGTGATAGCGTAATTGCAAAAATCTTTGCTTAAGTATATTAAAACATTTTTAGGCAAAACATGTATTTGTGCCAAGAATTAACTGGGTTGCCACGTTGGCACATAATAAAATTTTTACCTTGAGAAATGCAAAGTTGACAGTTACATTAAAGCACTAATTTGGATTAATAAATTAATAGGAATATTACTATGATCCTATCAGTGAATGAGGTGCATCAGGCAAGACGCATGAAACATAGTTCATACCCTACAAGAGCTTAGAGTCTTGTGCAAGTAGTGACCGTGGTTAAATTATTTTGACTAAAGACCAAGCAATTTCTAATATGACTAAAAAAATTTTTTTTTCACTTGAGAAAATGGAAAACTAACTTTAAGATCTGAAAGTAGATTTGAGACTCGTATATATTTTTTAAAAAATTCATTGTTTCTGAATTTTTAAGGGTGAGATTCATGAGCTGAAAATTTATGGAAAAAATGAATATCTAAGAGGAAAATGAGAGACTCGTAGAAAAATGCATGCAGTAATTGCTTCTTGGTTGGTGCTAAGCTGCCCCAGGTTCTTGAATCTATAGCTTTTCGCTTAAGGATGAGTACAATCCTAGAAATCTGTTTTCACCAAACAGTTGGAGATTAATGTTTCCCCAACAATTATTTAGGAAGTTGCCTGCTTTTGGTATTTTGTGGATATGATTTCTACCATTCAGTAAAAAGCTAAAAATTATGGGCCATGTCATAGGCCCAGATACTTAAATGAATTAAAAGATGCAAAAGCTTTTTAGTGAGGGTTCATTGTTTGCAAGCAGTGAAACCAACTCTGGCTAATTTAAGGAAGAAAGGCATTTATTTGAAAGGGCATAGGGTGGATGAATACCTAGGCCTCTGAAAGTACACAAACAAGGGCAGCTCAAGGGATTTAAGTGACAGGAGTCCTTTCAGGGTCTGCCCTGGAATGAATCTCTCAGCCGTGGTCTCCCTTTGCTTTGCTGCTCACAGAGAGTTGGATTGGCCCAACCCTCTTTGGTTCCATGACTACCCCTAGGCTAGAGGAGGGTGAAGAGTATTGAAGGATGTTCCCATTGAGACTTAATGCAGAGGTAGGTGGTGGGTCCTGCAAAGGAAATAGAGTTATTGTCACAAAAGAAGAGGGAAGAGATACCGTGTGGGCAAAAACAACAGATATCTTTTTCAGGTAGTAATGTAGTTATTAATAGTGGAAATGAAGAAATTATTTGGATTCAGGAGTCTTCTTCCCTGCATCTTTCACTTGCAGATGGTGAGTGGCAGAGAATGACAGGGTGCTGTTTGTATGTTATACATTTCCTGTAGGGTCCATTGGACAGTGTATTTGATATAGCCACCAAATACACAGTATTTACTGAACATCTAATAAGTGACATAGAGAAGAAGCCATCTTATAGTCCCGAACCCCTTCAGTGTAGTCAGGAAAAACCAAAGGCATACAGTTAATATAGGAAATAATACAAGGCAGCATAAGAAATATTCCAAATTAATATTATGGGCAGTACATTTTATAAGAGTTTTAAAGCAGAAAGGGGGCCGGCCCTGTGGCTTAGCGGTTAAGTGCACGCACTCCGCTGCTGGTGGCCCGGGTTCGGATCCCGGGCGCGCACCGACACACCGCCTATCAGGCCATGCTGTGGCGGTGTCCCACATAAAGTGGAGGAAGATCGGCCTGGATGTTAGCTCAGGGCGAGTCTTCCTCAGCAAAAACAGGAGGATGGGCATGGGTGTTAGCTCAAGGCTGATCTTCCTCACAAAAAAAATTAAAAAAAAAAAAAAGCAGAAAGAAAACACTTGGCAGGACAGATTTTATAGAGAACATAAGTCTTGGTTGGGACTTTGAAAGATAAGTTGGATTCTGAAAAAAAGAAGGGGATATTTGTGGGGCATTTCAGAAAGGTCATTTAGGCTAGAGGAGAAGGTGTGTGAAAGGGAAGTAGTGGGAGGTAAATAAAGTAGACAGTTGTCTTACAGTTAAGGTTTCAATGCTAGCTTTGTTTAAATTCCTAGGTCCCAAGTGTTCAAGATATTGGGCAGTCTTTCATTAACTCTACACACACACTGAGCACCTGCTCAGGTGCTAAAGGTACAAAGAACACAATGTAATACAGAGCCCTGCCCTTGTGAAGCACACCTTATTCCAACAAGTTTCATACCTTGTGCTTAGTATTGTGAGTTATAATAGAGGTGTGTAAGAGTGTGGTAGGGACTTCTTTTCCCAGCTGACATGAAGTAACAGGGACTAGATTTATCCTTCTGCCCAAAACAACCAAAAAACTATGTATAATATATGAAACAACACTTCTTCAGATTTTAGACATCAGGCAGTGAAGGACAGTGATCCCTGAGGGACGGAAAACAAAGGATGTGAGCCCTGTGATTGCCCAGCTTACCGCCTTGAGAGAGTCTGCAGGCTGTGACAGCGGCAGGGGGACCCAGGCAGAGCTTCAGCAGGTGGAGCGGAGTCTGGGGAGAGAGAGGCAGCTAGAGTTCACAGGACAGAGAACCCAGAGAGGAGAGAGCTGCACAGAGGGAGGACTCTGAAGATGTGCAGCGAGTCCTCCTCAGGTCTTCAGCAGAGTCCTGCTCTGTGCATGCCTAAGAGGAAACTCCATGAAGCCTGGAAAAGAACCACCTGAAAGGCTTAGAAGGAACAGTACTTGGTGCTCAGCAGAGCCAGGAGTAGTGCCTATTCCGCCAGCCAGACTGGAAACCTCATAATTCACAGGGTATTAGGTGGAATACTCAGAAAGGTCTTGCCTCAACTGTGGAGAATAATTAGGCCAAATACGATATGGTCCCACCTAATAAGTCTTAAAAGCAAGACAGGGCCGGCCCTGTGGCTTAGCGGTTAAGTGCGCATGCTCCGCTACTGGCGGCCCGGGGTTCGGATCCCGGGCGTGCACCGTCGCACTGCTTCTCTGGCCATGCTGAGGCCGCGTCCCACATACAGCAACTAGAAGGATGTGCAACTATGATGTACAACTATCTACTGGGGCTTTGGGGAAGAAAAAAGGAGGAGGATTGGCAATAGATGTTAGCTCAGAGCCGGTCTTCCTCAGCGAAAAGAGGAGGATTAGCATGGTTGTTAGCTCAGGGCTGATCTTCCTCACACACAAAAAAATAAAATAAAAAAATAAAAGCAAGACAAAAAAAGATCAAACTGTTTCCAAGTAATTTAACTGCATCCCAGACAAAGCTCAAGAATATTTATAGGAATACAAACATGTCTAGCAGCCAAAGAGGTAAATTTTGTGATGTTTGGCATTCAATCCAAAATCACCAGACAGCGGTAATTATGTGACATGATGGAGGTGTTAGTTAATGCTGCTCCTGCTATGGTGGTTGTCATTTTGGAATATATAAGTGTATCAAATCAACTTGTGGTACACCTTAAACTTAGGCAATGTTATATGTCAATTATATCTCAATAAAGAGGAAAAGAATTATCAGGCATGCAAAGAGGCAGAAAAATATGACATATAATGAGTCACTTGGAACTAATTCAGAGATGACATGCTAGAAACAGCAAAGACATTAAAAAATTATCATAACTTTTCTGTATGTTCAAAAGTTTAACAAGACACATGCAACAAATAAATAGATCTAAGTCAAACTTGCAGAGGTGAAAACTACAATGTCAGTTGAAAAGGGAGTAGAACAGTGTTGAGGGACATCAGAGAAGGCAGCGTTCTTGCTAAGGCAAGCATTTGACAAGCAGGGAAGAGTAAGTAGAGGCCCAGAGATTGAAGGGGTTTCCTGAGAGATGGAGCGATGAACAGTCAGCATCGGGAGGGAGGGAGATGGTAAGAGGCAAATCCTGAAAAGTAGCTTAGGAATGAATCATAAAGCAGAGAGCCAGACTAAGAATTTGGACTTTGTCCTGAAGATAATGGGTTTTGGGGAGAGAAATATGAATGTTCATTTTGGAAGAACTCTGACTGCAGTGAGAGAGGTTGCTAAGGTCTGGAGATTGGAAGGTGCTAGCAAAGGCCATGAGAAAAGATGAGGGCCTGGACTGAGATAGAATAGAGAGGAAAGAACAGGTTTAGGAGTTAGAATCATAATGAATATTATTGGGGAGCAGTAGAAAAGCAAGAGTTAGTGATAACGGTGGCTAATACTTATTGATTGCTTACTCTGGGCCAAGCAGTGTTCTAAGCACTTTTGTGTGTAGTAACTTAATCTTCCCAACAAAGCTATGAAGCAGGTGCTGTTATTATTCTCCTTTTAAAGATGAGGAAACTGAAGCACAGAGATGAAGTACTTGCCCACGGCTAGGAAGCAGTAGAACTTGTATTTGAACCTGGGCAGTCTGTCTTGGGAGCCTGCCCTTAACCACAGCACTTACTACCTCTGGTCAGAGTGGATTGTCTCCACAGCTCTTGATCATGTCTCCTCTTGATCATAGCCCAGGTCTTTGATGCTGCCATAACTGAGTTAGGGAACACTGCAAGGACGGGTTTGGAACATTCATTCATTCATCACATGCTCGCTGAGCGCCGACCATGAGTCCCTGTTGGGCACTAGGTTTACAAAGACATAGGAAGTGGGGAGTTAGTGGGTCTCATGAGGTCTGGTGGGGAAGACAGATAAGTAAGAAGACCACCACAGGATAGTATGATAGAGAAGGGGAGCACAAAATGCGTGGGAGGACATGGAGGGGTGGCTTGATCCAGATTCTTGCATGCCCAGGAAGGTTGACTGTGAGAATTGTCCCAACCAGGCCCAGAAGGATTCATGGACATTAGCTGAAGGGAGAGCTGTGGAGGCTGGGACGTCTGCTGACTGAGAAAGAGCTAGAGGCAGAGGAGTCTTGAAGAGAACAGAAATAATCAGAATTGTACCATGAGTTATGACAAATAGGAAGCTGTCTAGGCATGAAAAAATTCTGCAAAGCAAATTCTGCAAATTCTGCAAAGCAGCGTTGAATGCCTGAGATTGGAAATTGAGAAGCCCACCCTGGATCTGGGTCCTGATCTTCCTCACACACACACACACAAAAAAGAAGCCCACCCCGGATCTGGCTCCTGCCCCAGATTACTGTATTATCTCTACAATCCTAGTGCCGAATAGCCATGCCTTACACCATTTGTCCTACTCTCTACCCTTCCCAAAGTAAAGAGCCTTATTCCCTGTCTCCAAATCCTATTCTCGGGCTTCCCCTTTTTCCCATTAAGTCTTCATTTCCCTCTCATTCTAGGGCAATTAGCTAACCTAAATTTGTTGCATCATCTGTACTGCTCATTTGCTAATTTATTATGTACTTCCCTATAGTATTCTAGGCACTATATTTATTCCTGTGTTGTTGTTTAGTCCTGCAAGCCTTTGTTCCTAACCTCACTAATGAAAACTGTTGATGCAAATCAATAATCAATCTACAAATCAAAATTGGGGTGAGTTTATTATCTGAGCCAGTCTGAGGACTATATAGCCTGAGAGAACGACCTTCCCTAAGAAAGTGAGGTGTACAGCGTGGTTCTATACCGTCTTGGAACAAGGAACATACATCAAATATGACAGGAGTATCTCTTTTACTACAGTCACAAGACGTTTTGCTAGCACAGCAGGTCAGTGGTCACAAGATGAGCACAGTAGGTCAGTTTGACCCTTAGTTTCTGTGAAGAAATGCTTATCTTTAAAGAAATGCTTATATGGGAGGGAGGCATACATCCCTGTCTTTATTTATTTATTTTTTTTATAATTTTATTTATTTATTTTTTTCCCCCAAAGCCCCAGTGGATAGTTGTACGTCGTAGTTGCACATCCTTCTAGTTGCTGTATGTCGGACGCAGCCTCAGCATGGCCCGGCAAGCGGTGCGTTGGTGCGCGCCCGGGATCCGAACCCGGGCCGCCAGCAGCGGAGCGCACGCACTTAACCGCTAAGCCACGGGGATGGCCCCATCCCTGTCTTTAAAGGCATCATTTTGTGCTTTGGGATATTGTAAATGTTTAAAGCAGTTGTGCAATGCGTGCTGGACAGGCCATGTCAGGCCATTCTAGAAAAACAAGCTCAGGCCAAATTAGTTTTAAACGAAATGGCTTCCTCATATACGTCGATATATTAACTTTTCTTGTTGCTTTTCATTTATTCATCAAAATATAATCTTTTTAGCAGGGACTGTCTTATATTCTTTTCCATCAGGCACAGTGCCTTATATATAATGGTTTTCAGGGAGGGTTTGACATGGAGAGATTGTAGTATGCACCAGTGACCTGAAAGAACTGTTCCTATCAAGACAATAACTTGAATCATGACTAACTAGGTTTCTAGGTTGCAGCTCAACCTTTGCTGGCTACTTCAGTGACATTGCACCTAGTTGTTTTCACTGAGAATCTGACATCTGCAAACTAGTCTCCTTGAGGGTCTGTTTCTATTAGTATTCTAAAATTTTTCTGTCCTAACTGAAAGTTTGTTTTAAGACCCCTTAGTAAAGCTTCTACCAACTTTCCAAAATTTTGTAGAACACCAAGACATAGTTTAAGAATTGCAACCATATGTAATTATTTCATCAGTCATATAAATAATGTTAAATAAATCAATATCCAAAATTTGAGGCTTGAAGAAGATTATTGGCTTTAATCTCATTCTGTATTACCTTGTTTGAAGATAAATGAATTAAGATTTCCTCTACTTGTTTTAATAATTATTTTCACCAATTTGTATACAGTAGTTATCTAGAGGTTTATGGTATTTTTTCAAATTGGCTTTAGATAGGTAGTGTGTTTTTTTGCCTCTAACTTGGGTAATGGTTTTTAAAGCTTTATAGGTTAGTAGATTTGTCTTAGAAACATAATCCAGGAAGTAGTAATTATAGCTTGCCTCCTTTTTTCTGTACCCCAGGGTTCCATGGATCTCACCCAGAGTGTTGAAGATGACCCCCTTCTGGACACCCAGCATCTCCAACAACATTCATTACATGCTCATATTAGACGCAGATTCCATCCTCTTCCTACAGTCGTCATAGCAAATCTTCTCTTGTTAATACATGTAAGTTTGTCATCGGCACCGGTTGGATCGGTGCGGTGGGGTCCCAGGTTCTTGGTCCACAGACACAAAAGAATTTGAAAGTGGACACACAGCAGAAGTTTTAACAGAGGAGGATTTATTAGCAAAGCGAGAGTACACCCCCAGGGAAGGGGCGGGCAGGCTCCAGGGAGCAACTGCACCAAAGTTGTGGTGGTCGGTGGCTAAGGAAGGTGGGTCCCGGGGGCGAGTGAAGGTCTTGGAACATGTGCCAACCGGGGCATTGTCTCCACTCCCATGTCAGGAGGGGAGATTTTTTCCATACAAGGCCTCTCGGGAACTGTCATGGCAGTGACCCCCCCCCAAGGGGGGTGAAAACTGCAATGCAAATGAGGGTATAATGAGGCTTGGGGCCACTCTTGGTCAGGGTCGGGGGGAGTGCTGCATGTCCGGAGAGGCGATGCCTGGTAGTGAGGACACTGTACCTGGTGGAGTGACCTTGCTCCCAGCTCATGTCTAGCTTCCTGCCTATCTCAAGTTGGCTGGGAGAAAGTGATCCATCCAGAGGTGATGTTCTTAAAAAATATATAAGCTCTTCAGCGGGCAATTTGGCTATATCTATCAACATTTGAAATGTGCATACTTTTTTACTCACGTCTCTACTTCAAAGCATTTATTTGCCTATGTGTAAGGATATTGTTTATGATAGCAATGTTGTCTGTAATGTGAAGAGACTGTAAACTACCACCATCCAGAGGACACTTTGCATGTCCTGTCCGTAGGTAGGAATGCTGTGCAACTGTTAAAGGAGAAGCGGGGTTGATGTGTATATATTAATGTAGACTAGCCTTCACAGTTACATTGTTGGGTAGAAAAAGAATCAGGTTTACAACAGTGTGTACAGAATGTTCCTATTTACACCTTTGAAAAGGGAGTCAAGAGGGCTGGTGTGTATGTGTGTGATATTGTGATTTGTGAGAAATATACATATTTGGTTATTCAGATGACCAAAACATATTTCTCATATATATTTGGTCTCTGTCCAGTGTTCCTGGCTTACAGCTTCCAAAACCCTTAGAATTTCCTGAGTGACAAGAGCAATGGGAGCATCTTTTGTTATAATATTTGGTCTCTTGTCCTCAGTTCCTGAAAACACTTCAAAGCCATGAAGGTGAAATGGGTGTCTTGTTATTCATAGCAAGCCCTTCCCACCACAACTGGGTTTATGTTAATGAGATGTCTTTTGGAAGGCACCTAAGGATGGGGGCCGGTTGCCAGGGGAACCAACCAACTTTCAGTCCCTGATTTTGGGGAAGAGGAGGGGCTAGAGGTTGAATCAATCACCAATGGCCAGGGCCGGCTCCGTGGCTTGGCGGTTAAGTGCGTGAGCTCTGATGCTGGCGGCCCGGGTTCGGATCCCGGGCGCACCCCGAGGCACCACTTCTCCGTCCAACGCGAGGCTGAGTCCCACGTACAGCAACTAGAAGGATGTGAA